TGCGCTTGCCGTTTTCGATTGGGGGCGTGTTAGTGCAGACCAAATTCGAACGAGGACAGGCTGGGGCCAGTGGGGGCGATAGATGGAGGAACAGGATTTGTCATTCCATCAGTTCGAGTGCTGACGGATACTTTGGAAGCAGCGAACCAAGCATCTGCATCGAACCAAGTAGGAGACCTAGATGTCCGAGTCGTTGCTGAACTTTATTATCGGCCAAGCCGCAATGACCAAGTGATCTCGGAACGTGAAGAGGAGGCTGCGATGTCGAATGGCGTATGCAATAACCATATCGCGCAGCGACATCCACTGCTTTTTCCGAACAGAACGTTGCCTTTTTGGCGTGCCTTGGTTTCTATTTCTGGTTGCATGTGAGGTCATAACCGCAGCAGTGAAACGTGCGGGAGGCCAGATGTTAACCAAGTTGCAACGCACTTTGTTCTGGAATACTTATCGATTGCTCCAAATACAAGCCCGCTGGACACCGACATTACCCACGACGCACCGCCAGGACTGCCCGAACATGTGGATATAATTTGGAACCGACCGTTCGATCGCATCCCCACCCATGGGAGATGGGGGCGCATTCTGTTAGCTGTACGAGAAGTCATTTTTTTATTCATGTCCGCGGGGATCAATGTTGCATTTCCGGGGTATGAGATGCAGCGTGCTCCGCATTCCATCCAAGTTCCACAATGTGCTTATGCTTTGGACTGTCGGATCCGAGCTGCAGTAGAGACATTTGGCTTACTTCGTACTTGGACCAGCGGATTAGGAACTGAAGTATCTGAGACCGCACGACGGAATTGCTCAGGCATTCGAGAGGCCATGGTGTTATACACACGTTTACGGAGCCCCAATTTAGTGTCGAGATATGTCTCGCGAGCAGCCTTTTTGGGGTCTTCAATTCTCATGGCGCTTTTGGGATCACCAATTGCCTTATTGAGAGAAAGGGGGAGAGTGGCCCAGCCAACTCTCCAACCGAGACAGTCCCACCCGAGTCGCCAGCTGATGCTGTAGCTCCAGTTGTTGAAGGCGGTGCCCCGAGCGGCGCCGCCGCCCTGGGGCAGCGAACTCAGCAATGCTTTCGTCCGGCATCGCGACCGAGGTCCCAGTGTGGAAGGCTGTCTCATCGGGCCGCTCCCTATGCTCCTGTGTCTGCCGTCTCAGCCGCGTCAGGCGCCAATGCCGGCTGGATTGGTCATGGCGGGGCCCAGTCGTTGGCGGATGAATCCTGGGCTGAGGGGCCCATCCCCGGAAGACTGGCTGTAGAGCCGGATGGCGGCCGCGCGCGCGATGGCGATGGCCCCGGGCCAGCCAGAGATGGCGCGCGCGACGCGACCGCCGACTGCAAAGACAAGACCGATAATGGAGAATTTCGAGGATGCTATGTGCATGTGTCCCGGCATCGTCAAGTCACTGGTCATGACAAAACGTGGCAGTGGTTTAGTCTGGATGAGTGCAGCGACAAGTTCCAGCGCGACTCTGGCGCGCCGAGTGCATTGCCGGCGCTTCCCCCGCTGCCTGCGCCGAAGGCGAGGCCGCCGGAGCGGGGCCGGGGCAGGAGTGAGCCAAGTGGCTGGAGCTCGAGCAGAATAGAGGACAGCTCCTCCAGGGATCAGAACCAGTGGCGCCGGAGCAACAGCGACCCTTGGGATGTCTCTCGCGAATGGAGAGGTCGATGGAGAGGGTGATGCTGCGCAATGGAACCAGTACAACAAAGTCGATACTGGTCCGCACTACTTCGTGGAGCGGGTGCACCGGGTGTGCATGGGCATTGAGGCCTGAGCTGGAAATATTAGCTCAGGCGGGGAACGTCGGGCTTCTTCGGCCTTCCGCCCCCTTGCAACCACAGTCGAGCGGTAAAATGCTTTTTGGGGTTCGCTCCGGTGGCTGTGCATATGTGCGTGCCAGGTGGGGCGGGGGTCGGGGCGACTCCGCGGATCCCGCCGCGGGGGGAGTCAATGCGCCCCTTCCGCGCCGCCGTTCTTTCGCCCTGCCTGCTCTCTCTCCTTGCGCGCGCTGTCCGCCTGCTGTGCTGACTGACTTCTTCTGCTTCCGCAGCTGCGTACTTCGGCTCTAGGGGGGCGGGGGGGGGGAGCGAGCCTGCGGCGCGCGCGCGTGCGTCGGCCGGCGGGCCGGCCTCCTCATTTCAATGTTGCTTCAGTGTATGCTTGACGGCATTATCCTTTCTTACCCATGTCATCTGCGGAGCCCACTGACCACTCCTCTTCCAATGTGCGCAGCTTTTCTTTTTCGGATCGCGCATGTCACGATGTTTCTGGGTCCAGGTCCGTCATGGCACCTGTCGGCGTATAGGACAAACGTCAGCGCAATGGGAACGGGTAGGTGGGAAACGGCAGGATGTCAAATGGCGCGAGCGCGCCCATCTTGTTCCCCTCGCCACTGTCGTTCTCCTCAGCGCCTCCTCGTCCCCGCCCACGTTGTCGTCTCCCTTCCGATCTTCGTCCTCCCCTTCCAATGCGTTGTCGCCCTTCTTCTCATCCAGCCCTCCTCTTCCCCTTTCCCTGCCCCGACCCTTTCCGCAGCGCTTCTTCCTTCGACTCCCGTTCCCCCCCCCCCGCCCCCCAGTTTTCGCCTCCGCTGCCGCCCTGGTCAGGCCGGGGGCCCCGCCTCCGGCTGCGACGGGTTTTCCAGCCCGCTGTCCGACCAGTGCGTTTTCGGCCGCGACAGCCCAGACCTGGGAAACCGGGAACCCGGCTGGTGGGCGAGAACACAAAATGACGAATTTGATTATTTTGATGTGATTTGTTCTGCCCGCCGTCGTATTTGTCCTGTCCTTTGCTCCCTTTTTTTTCCCCTCTCTCTCTCTCTTTCTCTCCCCCTCTCTCCCTGTCTGTTCATTGTGCTGCTCTCTGCGTGGCCTCTGGATTCTTTGGTTTCTGATTGTGTGTGTGTGTGTGTTGGCCCTTTGTGGTTTTCCCAGCCCTCCTGTGTTGGGTACTCGTTTTGAATAGAGCAGTGTGGTCGCCCCGTCCTCTTCCTCCTCCTCCTTCTCCTCCTCCTCCCCTCTCCTCCCCTCCTCCTTTCCTGTCCCCTGTGTTCCCCTCTCCTCCTCTCTCGTGCCGTCGGGCTGCGATCTGCGCGACTGTCGCCACTTTCGTGGGCTCCTGGGAGGCCCAGCGGAGGTGCGTCTCGCGCTGACCACCTCGAGACCTCGCGGTGCCCAGGGGGCTGCGACCTGCGCAACTGTCGCCACTTTCGTGGGTTCCTGGGAGGCCCGGCGGAGGTGCGTCCCACGCGGACTACCTCGAGACCTCGCGGCGCCTTGGGGGGGTGCGATCTGCGCAAAGGTCGCCACTTTCGTGGGCTCCGCGGAGGCCCGGCGGAGGTGCGTCCCACGCGGACCACCTCGAAACCTCGCGGCGCCCTGGGGGGCTGCGATCTGCACAACTGTCGCCACTTTCGTGGGCTCCTGGGAGGCCCATCGGAGGGGGCTCCTGGGAGGCCCAGCGGAGGCGCGTCCCACGCGGGCCACTTCGAGACCTCGCAGTGCCCTGTGGGGCTGCGATATGCGCAGCTGTCGCTACTTTCGTGGTTCCTGGGAGGCCCAGCGGAGGTACGTCCCACGCGGACCATATCGAGAACCCGCGGCGCCCTGGGGGGCCGCGATCTGGGCAACTGTCGCCATTTCGTGGGTTCTTGGGAGGCCCAGCGGAGGTGCGTCCCACGCGGACCACCTCGAGACCTCGCGGTGCCTTGGGGGCTGCGATCTGCGCAAGGGTCGCCACTTTCGTGGGCTCCTGGGAGGCCCAGCGGAGGTACGTCCCACGCGGACCACTTCGAGACCTCGCGGCGCCCTGGGGGGTTGCGATCTGCGCAAGGGTCGTCACTTTCGTGGGCTCCTGGGAGGTCCAGCGGAAGTACGTTCCACGCGGACCACCTCGAGACCTCGCGGCTCCCTGGGGGGGCCTCGATCTGCGCAACTGTCGCCACTTTCGTGGGCTCCTGGGAGGCCCAGCGGGGGTACGTCCCACGCGGACCACCTCGAGACCTCGCGGCGCCCTGGGGGGCGGCGATTTGCGCAACTGTCGCCACTTTCGTGGGCTCTTGGGAGGCCCTGCAAAAGTACGTCTTACTCGTTGCCGCTACTCTTCTTGCTGCGCTTTTCTGATTTCACTGCTGGCTGCTCTTTTTCAGCACTGCGTTTTTTCAGCATGCCCGTCAGCATTGAGTGCTCCTGAGTGGAATCACCACATGTATAGAATGGGTTGGGTACGTCGCAGGGTAACTTCTTGCCATCATCGGCTTTCGGGGTTCGTGTTGGGCCACGGGACCGTCAACCAACACCTTTCGGGGCGAGAAGCTGGTCCCGCGGGGGACTCTAGGCCCGTTTCTCTTGGGGCACTTGTGGTTCGCCGCGAGTGTTTTGACTTGCCGCCGCCCCAGGTTTTCCATCGCCCCCCGACGCGTCCCAGAGCCCGGCCCGACCCAGGAAATTGAGGCAAATCCAGCCTCGTGGCGACAAGGAAGCCGCCCGAAAGGCTCAAAAGGAAGGATGAGGGGTGAGGAAGCACGTCGTCGTAGTCGTATGGGTTCCGCCTTCCTCTCGCGCTGTGCCCCAACCATCAGTTATGTGTCGCTTTCCGAAGAAGGCCGAACGGGGCATTCTTTTGGCACTGCCGTTTGAGACCGTCGTCGAGATTTACTTGCTGGAAGACGCCCCGAACCCCAGAAACATCAGAACGAGTCAAAACACATCGGGGAACATCTGAATGCATTTGGCCGTGCCCCCTCCCCCTATCACCCATCGTTTTCCTCTTCCTCAGAGCCTCCTCCGCGCCCCCCTTTTAAGTCCGCTTTCTGACGTTCTCACCCCCCCCTCCCCTTCGTCGTCTTCATCCGCATCCCCCTCAGACTCTTCATCAACGTCGTGCGCCTCCTCCCCCTCCTCTTCCTCTTCCTCGTCCCCCTTCGCAGTGTCTCCTGCAACTCCTACTTTTCAGGGTCCTCGCCTTCTCCCCCCCGCTGCCGCCACGGTCAGGCCGGGGGCCCTGTCTCCGGCTGCGACGGGTTCCCCAGCCCGGTGTCCGACAGGGATGTGCTGGGCTACGGCAACCCGGCATGCCGCTATGAACCCTCCGTGGAGGAGCCGGTGGTTCCGAGAATGGACAGAGGCGGTATAGGTCAACCTCAGTGCTTTCGCGACGTACGGGCGAGACGCCGGAATAAGGACAACAGCGGATTCAGCGGGCATTTGTTTTTTTTCTGGGCCGTTTTTTTTCATATTTACGTCGTGGACACATGTTCGTGGCCGAGGCTCGTTGTGTGTGCTTTGCGTTCTCTATTTAAGGTTGGTTCCCCATGATAGCACGATTGCTCTATGTGACGTCGAACCGTTCCCACCCATCCTTCCCCACTGCGTTGTTTCGCTCTCTGTCCGCCGACGGGTGTCATCGCAGACCTGAAACCTCCCACCGGGCAGTCGCGTGTTATAATCAATCACAAGATGGGAGCTGTGTGCATGGGAGGAAGAAAAGGGGAGGAGGAGGAGGAGGAGGAGAACCACGAGGAGGAGGAGGAGGAGGAGGAGGAGCTGGAGGAGGTGGAAGAGGAGGAGGAGGTGGAGGATGAAGAATAGTATTACGAAGAATGCTAATAATAAGAAGAATATGAAGCATAATAATAATAAGACGAATAGTTTTTATTTATAATCAGAAGACGAAGAATCACCCTCCTATTAATACGTACGAATAGGTACTAATAATAAGAAGGGTACCATAATATCAAGAAACCAATATTACTACTATATTACTACTAAGATGAATAAGTATACGAACAACGATAATATGATGCTAATGTGAATAATAATAATAAAAAGAATATAATAATAATAAGACGAATGATACTACATAATAATAAGACAAATAGTAGTAACATGTAGAATGCGACGAATAATAGTACGAACAACAGTAGTCATCATACTACCAGCAGTAATACAACTGCTAAGCCTAAACGTGCTAATACCACGACTGGTAATACTGCGAAGCATACGAGTACGAACAAGAACAACAGTACGAACAATAATAATACGAAGCCTGGAGGAGGAGGAGGAGGAGGAGGAGGAGGAGGAGGAGGAGGGAGGAGGAGGAGGAGGAGGGAGGAGGATGAGGGAGGAGGAGGAGGAGGAGGAGGAGGAGGAGGAGGAGGAGGGAGGAGGAGGAGGAGGAGGAGGAGGGAGGAGGAGGAGGAGGAGGAGGAGGAGGAGGAGGAGGAGGAGGAGGAGGAAGAAGAAGAAGAAGAAGAAGAAGGAGAAGAAGAAGAATAATAATAAGAAAAAGAAGAAGAAGACGAATAAGAAGAATAATAATCAGACGAATACGAATAATAATAAGAATAATAATATTAATAATAATAATAATAATACGAAGAATAATAATAATAAGAAGAAGAATCAGAAGACGAATAATAATAATAAGACGAAGACGAATAATAATAAGACGAACACGACGAATAATAATAAGAAGAAGAAAAAGACGGAGACGAAGAAGAATAATAATGATAATATTAATGAGAATAAGAAGAAGACGAATACTAACAATAATAAGAAGAAGAAGAATAATAATACTAAGAAGAAGAATAAGCAAAATTAGAAGAATAAGAAGAATAATAAGAAAACTAATAATAAGAATAATAATAAGAAGAAGACGAATAAGAAGACTACGAAGAATAATAAGAATAATAATAATAATACGAAGAAGACGAATAAGAAGAATAATCAGAATAATAATAATAATAATAAGAAGAATAACAATAATACGAAGAATAATAAGACTCATAATACGAATAATACGAAGAATAATAATAATAATAATAAGAATAAGAATAAGAATAATAATAATAAGAATAATAATGCTAAGAAGAATAATATTAAGACTAATAAGAAGAAGACGAAGAAGCATAATAATAATAATACTAATAAGAATAATACTAATAATCAGAAGAAGAAGAGGAGGAGGAGGAGGAGGAGGAGGAGGAGGAGGAGGAGGAGGAGGAGGAGGCGGAAGAGGACGATGACGACAACGACGAGGACGAGGAGGAGGAGGAGAAGGAGGAAGAGGAGGAGGATAGGATAGGATAGGACTCGGCCTTGCGCGTGTGCTGGGGTGACGCAGCTCTACACTTGGTGTGATACGCGTGCAGAACTAGAACCTCAAACAATCGCATATCCACTATACGAGGTTACGGGTTACGCGCGCCGTGCAGCACTCGACACGTGTGTATCGTGGCTGTTCGACAGTGTCACACGCGGGCTGGGGGGGGCGCCCCACTGGCCCCGAGGGGGCCGAAACCACGCGGCACTGTATGTGCCTGGCGGGCTCTCGAGGCATCCACCCAGCCATGGAAACACAAGAGAAATCTAAACATGTACGGTCGGCTCGGACGCACCCCCGCAAGGCCCGCACACTCGGGCCCCGCAGGCGTCCGATAGGCAGACGTCGGGGTGGGCCCGCGGGGGGCGTCAAACCGAAGTGAGAAGGGAGTCGACTGTACTGAAGTACAACGCGAAGCGGACGCACCCGCCTAGTCGGGCACGGCGGGCGAGGCTTCTAGGGGAAGGTGCTGGGGTCTCACGAAGACGATCACGTCCATTACCATGCCCATCGCGTCGAGACAGGCCCAGAGCAGGAGGTTTCGATCTGGGTCCCCGAGGCCTGCCGTGAGGTTCAGCTGGGCGTGGTCGAGATCCGTGAGCGGCCAGCTCACGAGCGGCATGTGTACAAACATATCCCATTGAAAAAAGAGGAGAAATTACAGCATCCTCCATCCAGCGGCGTGGCGACGACTCTGCCTAAGCCGAGCTTAGGATCTGGAAGCCTTCTCTTTTGCCGAGATGCGATCTCTCAACGCCGCCAGTCGTGTCTGCCAGGCGTCTGGGTTCATGACGTTTTCTTTCCTATGCCCTTGCCTCACTTCTCGAACCGGCAGTGTTGGATCGATAGTCCGAGCTCCTGCGTCCGTCCGCTCTGTGTGAACTTGGCGTATCATTGGCGTGTTACTCCCAGCGCCTCGCCCCCAATCTTGAGACTCGATGCTGCTTCCACTTGACAATTGAACCCTGCGCGCAAAGTGTGTAAAAAGGTGGCGGGCCCAGCTCGTACTTCACGTTGGGGAGCCCAGCTGCTTCTGCGTACAGCATCCCAGCGGCCCTGGAAGCCTCGATAGTCGGCGATCGTGTCGGAAGAATCACGCTGACCCAGACCACCGCCGCCATGTCTCGGGGGAGCTGCGAGTGTGTGCAGGAGCCTTTTAGGAGGAGGGCCAGCCCCGCTGCAACGTCTTTTCCTCCGGTCGAATTCTCCACTTGGTTTGGTGTGTCCTCGGCGTCGTCCACTGCCTCTGCCACCTCGCGCCCCTTGGGTCCGCGTACTCCGTGTTCGCCACCAGGGGCCTCTGTGCGTTTGCCGAAATCGCCCAGCCCGTTGAGGTCCAACATGTCGACGTCCTGCGCTGATCCCGCTGCCGCCTGCGACATGTGGCCGACTGTGTCTGACTTCAGGCTGAGGTGCGGAACAGTGAGAGCGAATATGTAGTTGACGCTCATACAGACTTTGAGCCTCATGACTACAAACAGGACATAGGAGATCGCTGGGGATCTGGACATCTTGCGCCAAGAAAGAGCTCCTCCCACGACTGCATACATTTCGTTTGAACGATCTCATGACGTGCCCCTCCGCGTTCCCTTTCGTGCTCAGGACTTGTAAGCATCTAAAACACTGGCTGGTCACTGTCAAAAGTGCAGCTTCATTTCGAGCGCGGCGGGCCCGACCAGCATGAAGGAGGATCGCCTTCATGGAGCTGAACTTTGCGTGACACTTGGCGCCCGTGGTGAGCGCCATGTTGCAGACGGACTGGCCCTCAGGGGCCGTCTCCTCCTCCGCCCCGGGAACTTCGGGGGCCTCAGGGAGGTGTTCTGGATGGGGCGAAAGTCTGAGAGTAGGCCGCGGCGCGCAGGGCCGTGAAGTCCACGAAGGCCCAGCCCCTAAACTCGTCAGTGTAAAGCAGCTTCAGCAAGGGGTAACCCGAGGGGACTAGCATGTAGAAGTCCTGGCAATGTTCGTGAGCGTACATAAGGTCCTCCAAGGTCTGCCGTGCCCAAGGGTTGGCCTTCGGGTGGAGGGCCCAGTCGGGATTGATCGTATCGAAACTCCCCATTGACCCCAAGATGCGCGCTCTGACCTGGCGATGTGCCCCATGGGCAGCGGGTCCAACTCTGGAGCCAGCCAAGACCGCGCGCCCGAAGCTCCTCCGAAGCAGGCAGTCTGTTTCAATACTCCCAGACCTTTTTTGATGGCTATCTGCGGATGCCCCCCATCTTCGCCCTTGGTGCCCCCCTGGGTGCCAAGGCCCCGACGCGTGGCAAGAAGCAGCACCCTGTCCGCCAGCTCGCAATAGGAGGCGTCGGGGACGCGCGCCCCCATGCCCGAGGGGAGGGCCGCCTGGACGAACGAGATAATCGCCATCCTCTTGGTGGCCCGAGCGGCGGGCTTGACCAAGAAGCAAGAGATGAGCCCCAGACCGTTTTTCCCCGCTTGGGCGCGCTTCGTCTTTTCCACGGCCAGGGGCCCCGTCGAAGTGAGCCAACCTCCCAGCACTCTGATGCGACGGCCCCGAATACCTGACTTTTTTTTGAGCTCGGCTGTGCCGCAGTCGACGTTGACCTGTGCAGTCTCGGCCAAAGATCTTAGCGGGCGCGGCCTGTTCTCAGGGTTCAGAGAGATGCCAATCTCCAAGAGGACCCCTCGGATGTGAAAGCGGCTCGACTCCGCCAGCGCCGCCAGGGGCGCCGCCTCATTCCCGTTGGCGTGAGCCTCAGGCCCCCATCCAGGGATGACTATCATCGTGACGTCGTCGGCAAATCGTCACGCCCACGTCGCTCGCAGAACCGTCGATCCCGATCGCCTCGGCGTATAGTCTCGACGGCGCCCTCGAACGATGATCGTGAAATCGAGCGAGGTCCACTTCGTAATAGTACGGGAAAGCTCTGGCAGGGTTAGGATGGCCCATCGTCTCCCCCGTCGACGGTCGAAGCGTAAATGGGGCCCGATGGAGATTCGATATGAAGAGGCCCCTGGACGGTACGACGATGTTGAAAGACGATGTCTTCCTGGAGGTA